AGCAGTCCAATGGCTCACAGTTGCCCTTAATGGGAATGTACAGCCAGCACCATCCTTGAGGATTCCCTACTGGTGCCCACTGGGAAAGCTGCCCCTTCATCTACCAAGCGGGAATCTGCCCAGTCCTGGCTGCACATATCCTGAACATGGACCCTTCCCATCTGGTCTTCACGAATCCGAGAACTGCCCAACACCAGGGATGTAGTCCCCAACAAAGCCACACAGAGACATGCTCTCCACTTCAACAGACAACATTCACCTGAGCAAAAACTACCAGATCCTCTCCGCCTACCGAACAAGCCACATTGTCCATGCCTCCATCCATACATGCCCTGTAACATTCCCCCCAACCCCTACCCCCCACTACCAGCCCCCACCTCCATCTCCTGCTACTCAAAAACCCCAGCACCCCCATAGTAGGAAGTGTGAGCCCCACCTCTGGGCTTTCACCCAAACACTCAGATAAAAGAGAAAACAATTTCAACTGAATGGGCTAATACCTTACGCCAGCACTAGGGAGGGTGAGGAAGCAAGATTAAGAGTCCAAGGCCAGCATAGGCTACACAGGAAATTCCAGGGAGTCCTAGATCAGTCTTTAAAAAAAAAAAAATATGTTTCAGTCTAATGAGTTCAGAACCACACCGAACCAGCTAAGGATCAAGGCCATCCCATCTCAAAGGTAAGAGCAAAGGTAAGAAGCACTTGCCTTGCTCCTGGCTAGCTGGAAACTCCAGCATGTGATGTCATCTGATCTTCCCAGAGGCAGATGGCATCAGTGGCTCTGCCTCCTTCGTTGAGGCCCCTGCTGCCCTGCACCTCAGAGCCCTGCTTAGCAGCCTTCCCAGAGGCATGGCTCCGACCCACACATACCAGGGCCTGCTGAGGTGACTGCAGTCAACACATAAAAGCCCAACTCTAGCAGCAACTCACGCTTCAAGCAGATGGACCTACATACACACACTCCTCACTGGCTCCCAGCACAGGCGCCCGATGCCAACTTTCGGACACAGCTAGGGTTGGCAGGGGCAAATGACTCACATGCCGGGTTGGGAGGGGCTGTACACCTGAGTGAATGCCCTCAAGACTGGAGGTGCTGCCATGCTCTTCACAGCAGAAAGATGGCGCGGAGGTCCTGCCTTCCAACAGTCGATGAGCATCTTCGGCATCCTGAGACCACACTGAACAAAGTCTGTACTTTCCTCACAGCAAAACAGGGCTGAGGAAGAGGAGGAAAAGACAAGAGGAGGAAGACAGATAGGAAGATGAAAGACAGGATGACCGGAGAAGATGAGAAGGTAGATGAGAAAGAGAAAGGTGGGGGAGAGAGAGAAGGGAAAAGAAGGAAGGACTAGAGGGATAAGGAATGAAGGGAAAGAGGACGGGAAAGGAAGGGGGGCAGGAAGGGAGAAAGAAAACAGAATCAAGCTGGGACTTATGAAGTTCAGGGTGGGAGGTTAAACGCCTCAAAAGAGGCAAACTTTTGTTTGCAAGATTCAGACATGGTTAATAGGTAGAAGAACAGCAGACAAATACACAGCATGATAGGAGTGCAGGCCACAGCCCTGCATAGCCATGAGATGGGACCAGAACCACAGCCCTCCAAACATGACCTGAGCTGGTACTGACGATCTGTTCCTCAGCAACTACACCCTCTGCGGCACACGCGGGCTGCACCTTGTTCTCTCCTCTCCATGTCATCTGAATCTGCCTACGGCCAAGGGAAAACACTTGGCCTTGCAGAGTCTCCTGGTCCCATGAATAAAACGGTGGAGACCTGCCCAGGAAGCCCAGGACCCAAAGGCCGAGGAACCCAACTGCTAAGGCCAGTGCCACCTAGCCACCACCCCATCCTGAGATCTGACTCCATCTGGAGCCCATGTTAAAGGGAAATGCAGGGCCCAGAACCCGGTACACAATAGGCTGGGAACACAGAGTCTCAGCTCATCTCCTGAGTGGCCTGAAACACGATGCACCAGAGGACCCAGGTTCGTAACCACCCACCCCACCAAAGTAACAACTACCTTAAACTAGGCCATCTCAGGTTCCAGACATGGCACTGGACTCCACAGTGACCACTGGTTCCTACTTACTAAGAGTGGCTCCTGCCCCAGTCTGACAGTGAGGAGCCCCGGAAACCTAGGCCCAGCACCCCACAGCTGTTTCCTCTCCACTCCTCAGCTCAGAGGCTCAGCTCTGCAAGCCTCACAAGCCAGGCAAATGCTTAGCCAGCTCCATGAATAGCCTACTTCCAGGCTGCAGAAGCCACAGAGAACAACTGAGTCACAGGTCCCATGTGAACCCAAGCACAGAAGACTAGCACATGAAAACCCAAAAACAACTCATCTTGAAAAATATTCCCCGGGAGGCAGAAGCAGTACTGTGGACCAGGCCTCTCCTCCCTGAGATCTGCTCACTAGGGACCATGACATCCTACAGAAGAGAGCAAAACACCAGGCATACTCATGGGATGCCGTGACATTACAGGTGTTCTGGTTCAGAGAACCCCCCCAGCCCTGCCTGCCCCGGCACAGGCAAACACAAGCCAGGTACGGTGCAAAGTGTACCAATGGGCCCCCCTGCCCCGTGGCTCTCGGGCAGACCCAAGTCTTACTGTGTTGGTCACAACAGCTAACTTCTGGGTGGGAGGGAATTGCAGACAGGTTTCCTTCCCTTTAATAGTTCATTCCGTTTCATAGTCAGAGGAAAATGAAGAGGATCACCAGGAAAACGTTCAAGCTTTAATTCCAAATCACTTTTCACGCCCGTTTCATCTGACAGTGGCTTTGAAAGCAAAAGGCAATCTTTATCATGTGAGCTTCCTCAAGTAAATGGATGTGATTATGTCCAACATAACCAGATGCTTCTAGAAGCCAATTTTCAGAGTGACATCAGCACTCAATATGAGAAACCCTTCCTTCTGGCTAGTAATAAATGATTAAACACTGTCTCCACAAGAGGACAAGGCTATGGCTGGATCATCAAAATAAACGGGCTAGCTCTGTGCTCCCCCCAGCGCCTGTCCATGCAAGGGCCAGTCCATTTAGGGCACTAGAGGCTCTTGCTCTGATCACTGCACACAGCCCCTCCCTCTGGCTCTGCAGAAGCCGGTCCCACTAGCCTTAGGTAGCTCAATCACACATAGAATGACCTTGGGCTCACCATGGCAACCCCATCTTCCATCAGTATAGGATCTGAATAGGCACACACCCAATTTTGGTCACTGAAGGGGATCAGCTGGACTGGGGCCCCAAAAAAGTCTTCCATTTCCAGAAAAGACCCAAAGAAAATTACTTTCTGTCTCTGGATGTAACACTAAACCTAGGATGACACTTCAGAGTCACAAGACCATCTGAGAGGCCAGCCCCAGGACAAATGGACAGGGGACCAGGCTAGTGTGAAAGAAGACCAAACACATTGGGCTTTGGACTCTGGTTCCTGGCAGAACCCTAAAACTCTTGGGCTCCACTGGGTGAGAGGCATGTCTACTGGTATTCTTAACAAGCTCCTCTGCTAAAGAGATAAGCTGGTCCAACCCCACCATGCTCAGGTTGGAGCTGGTCACAAAAGGACTAGAAAACAGAGGGTAGACACTCCTTTCCCCAACCACTGACTTGGGGCTGGGCTGTGAAGCTCTTCCCAGTAGGATTTGGACACTTTGGGGTTGGTGACCGCAACAAGGTGGTGGGAGGGTGATATAACTGAAGAGAGTGAACCCCGACATTGCCTGCTCTGAGCACCCTCCAGCCGGCTGCTCCTGGGCTGGATATGTCAGAAGAAACCAGGAGTCTCAGCGGAGACACTCTCCTGACTTCTGAGAATCCCCAAGCCTGAGAAAGGGTGGTAGGACGGGAGTGTGGGTGACCTGGGGATCTGACACTTGTGACTGACATCTGAGCAGACCCTTAGTGTCAGGGCAGAAGCATAAGGCACACAGTCGGTGTTGGGCTTGGGAAAGTAGTGAAGGACAAGCATCATGACAGGCCAGCGGGGCCTCATAGCTGCCCCTGGACTTCTGACTGGACCAGGAAACACACATGCCTGCTGATAATCTCAGGGCGAGATTTCTGTCACTTGTGATCAATGGCACAGGCCAGATGGAATATTCATGTCTGTAAGCACAAAGGTCTGCATACATCACACATGCATGTACCCAAGGGCCAATCAGAGTCCACACACTGCCGGAAAGCTGCAAGGCTCCTGAGCTAGGCGAGGACCCGGGGTCAGGAAGACAACGTGCAGAATGCCTCAAGCTGAGACTCACTGCTCTGTGGCCTGTGAGGCAGCATCTGGTGCAATGGCTCAGACCGTGGACCTGTGAGGCACAGCCATCTCCCAATGCTGTGACTTGTGTGCATGCAGTTTGTTTGTTTGTTTATTTATTTATTTATTTTTTTGATTGCCTGTCCTGGAACTAGCTCTTGTAGACCAGGCTGGCCTCGAACTCACAGGGATCCGCCTGCCTCTGCCTCCCGAGTGCTGGGATTAAAGGTGTGTGCCACCACCGCCTGGCGTGCACGCAGTTTAAATGAGTCCACCTGAAGCAGTCATATACAAAAGTAGATGGAATGAGAAGTCTTTGGGCCAGTGAGGGTAATGACTTTCAAAGGCACTGAGATAGCTCTCAGAAACCCTTGGCTGGTGCTCAAAAGAGCTCTTAAGACAAAACCCCAACCCTTCCCCTCTAGCTTTCTCCAAAATGCAAATTAGCACAAAACATGCATGCATACACAAACCTATCATCTGTTGTCCTAAGCAGAGCTATGTCCTAATAAGGCCACAGTTATGCCCTAAAAGAATAAAGTTCTTGAAAAGTATCCAGCCCCAGGTACTATGTAACAGTAACAGAAAATAGACAACCACTTCCAGTAACCCAGGAGAAGACTCAAACTGCCCAGAACAAAAGTACAGGCAGAGTCACCCAGACTGCCTCTGTGCTGGTACAACCAGCCCCACCCAGGCCACCTACCTGCTGACACAACCAGACCCACCAGGCCGCCTACCTGCTGGTGATGGCATTATTCTTCTCCTTCAGGGAGAGCTCTCGCTGCTGCAGCTCAACCACGAACCTGGAAAGGTCCTCTGGAGTCCTGAGGGGGTAAAGAAGGCACACTCAGTTCCTGCTCTCCCTGGAAACAGACCAAACTGTGTGCACAGAACAAAACACCAAAAGTCACAGCATCCACTGGCAATTCAGAGCTCTGCATGAGAGATTCTGCAGTCCGTGTGCACAGTAGCCAGCACTCAGCATACAGGTCCAAACAGTCTATCCACCTAGGCAGACTACTTTCAGAAGACATCTTAGAGCTATCGTCAGTTGGTAACATACTTCCATACAAACATAAAGATCCGAGTTCAGTTCCCAGAAGCCATGATGGGGTAGGGGGGAAGCTGAGTGTGTTGGGATAGCAAGATGACTCAGTGGGTAAAAAAGGTACTTGCCACCAAGTCTGAGGACCTGAGTTGAATGCCTGGACTCCACATGGGGAAAAGGAACCAATTCCCTCAACTTGTCCTCTGAACTTCACATGCACACACAATTAATTAATTAAATAAAATGGAATTAAAAATATTAAGAACATACGAAGCCAGACAGATGTAATGGAACCTGCTCATTGCTGAGGTTGACAGTTGACACAGATGAATGCTTAGGGCTCACTGGCTGGCCTAACCTACTTGGTGAGTCGCAGGCCAATGAGAGACTCTACTTAAAAGACAAGGTGGATGGTACCAAGAAATAATACCCAAGGTTGGCCTCTGGCCTCTAAATGTGTGTGCACTCGTGTGCAGTACAATTCTCATGAGCAAGATCCTGGTCATTCCTGGGTGCAGATGAGCTACCCCTCCAGCCGTGCATAGTACCTCACTACAGCCCTGTCTGAGAGGCTGGAGATGCAGCTCAGTGGTAGAGTACTTGCCTAGCAAGCATGACCCAGGGTTCCAAGTCCAGCACCAGGAAAATACATACCTTCATCCCCCTCTCTGCAACACGAGGTCACAATAAAGCAACCAGTAGCACTGGACCATCTACCTGCAGACCCATGAGAGGTCAGTTCCAGTCCCCAAAGCTCCACCTGTGGGTCTCTGGGAACCCAGGTAGGCTATAAAGTTCTCTTGGCAGAAAGACCAAACTAGTGTGCCAGGCAAAAGATGCCCAAGAAAGACCCAGGCACAAACTGACTCTTCACTTGAAGTACACACAGAAAGAATAGGCAACATGTATATTCTTACATCCACAGTACGCACCCTGGTGGGAAGTGTGGCTCAGTGAAATTGTGCCCACACTAGGTGGGAGCAATCAAGATCTCTTCTATGTACTGTGTGAATTTCACAGACTGTGAACTTGCAGTACATGTATATGTAAGTATAAATAACCCCCACCAAAAATTAAAAAAAAAAAACTTAAGGAAATAAGGAAGGAAGGAAGGAAGGAAGGAAGGAAGGAAGGAAGGAAGGAAGGAAGGAAGGAAAGGCCACAAGGGAGAAAGAGTTACTAGAAGCTGCATTGGAGGGAACAGAACACTCGCCGTGTGCTGTCAGTCCGCCATGAGTCCTGGCACCAGGGTGAGGGAAAGGGGGCCATCCTTAAGAAGCCCTGGGATACAGGAACCAGCTCAGCACTGCTTGGCCCCCACCACCTGAGCTGAGCTCACAGGCATGGAGGAGGACTCTCCAGACCCATGGAGGAGGACTCTCCAGACCTGTGGAATCACAGGATTCACCCATAGGCGCGGCCTTCACCTCGTCCCTGAACAGAGCCCATGGACTGCCAGGTTTTGGCTGAGACTGTGCTGCAGAAGCCTCCTGGCCTGTGTGGTTAAAGCTACTCGGAGAAGCTTCCAGGCACTCTAGGGATTAGCAAAGTGCTTTCAAATACAAGCCGTCCCACCGAGTGCCACTGTGGCCTAAAAATACCGCTGCCAGTCCAGTCCGGTGCAGCGAGCGTGACACTCGCACTTCACAACTACAAAGTGGAAGGCGCGTAGGGCCTCTGGGGCCTCCGACACATGGGATGACAGGGAAGTGACAGTTCCAACTGCAGTCCAAGCTGTGGCATCTGCTGCCGAACAACCGCGGCTTCAGCTGCGAAGCCTTTCATGGTCTGGCGGGGGGCTCTCGGGGAGAGGCCTCTTTGTTCAGGAACAGCTGAATTGTGACACAAACTCAGCTGCAGGCACAGAATGCTGGGGGCCTGAGTCCACTAGTTTATTTCGGAGGCAAAGACAGTTCCAGCCCCAACTGCAGCTATTTTGAGTTCTAATAGCAGGTGCCATGGCTCTCACTGAAGCCGTAAGTGCCGGTTTCTCAGCGTCTGAAAGACACCCAATCCCGAGGACACCAGTGTTGAGAATGAATGAAGTGGCAGCAGCCACAGACCCAATTAGCAAACACCAGGCCATGAGCGCTCTTCCAAGGTGCCATTCTTTCCAGAGAATAGGAAGCCATAGGGCTGAGACCACAGTCCAAAACTGCAGGGACTGGGCTTCAGCCAGGGCTCAACCGAAAACGAGGGAAAGGAGGGAACACAGCCCTCCACCCCCCATCCCAGCAAGATGGGTTTATTGTTCTTGCAAAAAGTATGCCAAGTCCAGAACAGAACACATTAGATAGCAAAAGCTTGTGCTAAAAGCTGAAAGGGTGATGGCACTCACTGCTATGGAGACAGAGTCAGACTTCGCCCAGGACTGAGGAGAAGCTGGTTTAGAATGTCCAGGACCGAGGACAAGCAAACATCGCATACTAAGTCAGCACTGCATGGCAGCCCAACGCTGTGTCATGCACTGCAGATCCACCTGCAGTGGCTGTACCTGCTGTCCACAATCCTAAGGCCACCCAGCAAGACTTGGAATCTCAAGACCAGAGGCCACAGTCACTAAGGCTCCAGCAGACACTTGAGAGACACAAGTCTGCATTGTCATTAGAGCTGGGAACCACCCTGTGACTGCCTGACCATGAAGCATCCACCTTCCAAAGCTGTCAGTTCCAAGCGTGTAGAGGGACAGTCCCTCTCCCTGAGGAAGACAAGGCAGGGCTGGCTGCTGTCTCAGGCACAGAGGTTTGCCACAACAGCAAAGGACCAGCAGGCCCTTGTCACATGACATTCCTCCTCCTTTTTGGAAACGAGGTCACACAGATGGCCTGGCCAGGGGAGGAACAGGAAGGCAGAAGCTGTTCCAATTCACAGTCATTACCACATCTCCCCTCAGGTCCCACACACCCCTTCTCTGGGGAGTTTCTCCTGTAAGTGTGCACACACAGTTCTCCTGCCACTCCAGGTGTCCGCTCACTGTCACCTGTCTTTAGCTGGGCTTGCTCCAGCCTACACATCTACAACCCTAAGCATCACCATCAAATCTGGTTCTTTGTGGGTTCTGTTTGCACCATTATCCTCCCCAGCCTGAAGCACAGGCTCACACACCGTGCACTCCACCCTGGCCACCAGCCATCTTTCTCCTTCACCAGGGGTCAGGGTCACAAGAGGAATTCACTCTGCTCTGGGCTCTTTGCTGCAGAGACTCCAAACAGAGAAAGGATGAAAACCCATGAGACCATTTAAGAAGAATACATCCTGCCAAGTTCTGCCTGAGTCTGACGGTAAAGCACGGATTAAAAGTTCAGTATCGGCTAGCCACAAGCGTCATGCATGCCTTTAATCCCAGTTCTCAAGAAGCAGGCGATCTCTGTGAGTTCAAGACCATTTTAGTCTACAAAGTAAGTTCTAGGACAGCTAGGGCTACACAGAGAAACTCTGTCTCAAAAAAAAAAAAAAAGGAAGCTCAGTATTGGGCTCAAGGTGTGACCAGAATGACTGCTCACATGTCCTAGGTTCCATGCCCAAGCACTGGGGAAAAACAAAACCAGGTTCAATATTACTGGTCAAATTAGTCTACCCAGATGAAGAAATCTGGATAAAATCAACTCAAACACTCAATTTACATATATAGTGATAGGAAAGATGTCCAAAATGCGTGACTACATAAAAGTAAGAGAGCCAGGTGTGGTGGCATATGCCTTTAATCCCAACACTCAGGCAGAAGCAGGTGGGTCTCTGGCCTACAGAAGTGAGTTCCAGGACAGCCAGGGCGAGACAGAGAAACCTGACTCAAGACTCCCCACCCTTCCCCCCGTCAAGGGAAGCAGAATGTGAATGCACTGTGTCCTTAAATAAACCAAAAATTAAGCATGGCTATGTTGGCGTACATTTCCGCTAAGGGTGTAGGGGACAAATAAAGGAGAAGCAGCTTCCTGAAGGACATGAAAAATAAGCAGGAGTCTTAGCTGCAAACACCTGCAAACTTCTTCAGCATTTCTACATATGCATTAGGGGTTTGGTGGCACAGCACATGTGTGGAGGTCGGAGGACAACGTGCGGGAGTTGGTTCTCCGCTTCCACCATCTGGGTCCTAGGGACTAAACTCAAGTCACCAGGCTTGGTAGTAGACGCTTTCACATGCTGAGCCAGTTCACCAGGTCTTTCGTAAATGTTTTGTGCCAAGGAAATGTGATTAACTACTAGGTAGACAAGGATTACTTATTTCAAAGCTTAGCTCTGAACCTTATGAAGCAGGTGCTATCTAAAATCTTTAAAAAAAAAAAAAAAGAAAAAGAAATGTGTTATTCCCATGACAAACTAACACATGGGAATTCAACTATAACCATTTACAAGCAAGCAATCAGATCATTCCTAAATGAGGTTCAGCTACATGTAACACAAATGACTTGCATTATAAAAGAGGCCATCACAGGAGCATTGGTGAAATCTGTAGAGAAAGTGTGTGTGTGTGTGTGTGTGTGTGTGTGTGTATATGTGGTGTGTATGTGGGGTGGGGTGGGTATGTGTGAGAAAGTGAGCTGTCGTGAGAGTGGGACTTTCTATCTAAATACTGAAGGCTTACAATTTGATTCTAAAGTTCGTCAAGAAACTGAAAATCTATGTACCTCAGCTTTTGCTATTGTTTTGGGGGCAAGGTGGGAAAGGGCAGCACTATCTAGCCCTGGCTGTCTTGGAACTCGACATGGACACCAGGCTGGCCATGAACTCATATGGATCAACTGTCTCAGCCTCCCAAGTGCTGGGATTGAAGGTATG